CGAAATCAATCCACCAAGTATTTGGCGAAATAATGGCTAAATTAGATTCTGAACACACTAGACAATGGGTGCTACCTTTCTTTGCTAACCAGTTTTTGTAACTAAAGCATTCCTTTTTTACATGGCCTCACTTGTGACATCAAAAGCATTAAACTTTCTTTTTCCCCACTTTATGTGCCTGACTGGTCCAACATCATTAACCTTTATACCCTTTTTCCCAGTTTTCTTATTATTTTTCTTGACTATTTTCTTATCCACAATGTGTGCAATATTGGGCTTATTGTGTCAGGTTTGCTCTTCCTCTTGTGCACACATACTAATTAATTCTGTTAATTTCCACTTATTTTTCTGCGCATTATAAGTAGTTTTAAAAATATCGAATTGCACAGGGAGAGAAGTCATAATAAAGTGGATTAGAAAGGAGTCACTAACTTCCATATCCAGATTTTTCAATTGACATGCAATATCAGTCATTTTCATGATATGCTCACGCACACCATTGAGACCATCATATTTTGTGGTTACTAATTGGGTCATAAGAGTGCTAGCCAGTGATTTAGTCGAGATAGTAAAATGTTCTTTTAGAGCCTTAAGGTAATCCTTAGCCAATGGTTTATCAGGAATGGCATCCCTAATATATTTAGGAATATTATTCTTAATATACATTAGATCAAGTCTGTTAGACCTGTCCCCTTTATCCCATTCCTTTTTCACCTCTGCACCACTAGTGTCTGTAGGCTCAGGTGGTTCATCTAACCTAATGGCTAAGTCTAAATCCCCAAGTCCCAAATTAAAAATTATTTCATCTTTCCAATTCGAGAAATTAGACCCAGTTAGGGCCTTCACACACGGTAATGAACCAACTGTTATGAAATAAAAATAAAAACATCAAAAAAATTAAGGCCACAATTATATAGTTTTATTAATGGGAAAAACAATCAAATTTTCCAGAATCAATAAGTAATGCCTCAAAATAGTTGATCCCGAATAGGATCAACTTCACATTTAACAATATTTCCTTGGGCCAATATTATTAAATGTTAGTCTCCCACTAGTGAAACAAATTTCACATTTGAGACTAATTAATTATAGATAATACAATATCAAAAATAAATTCCTTTGGGAATAGTATGTCTATTATATATTCTACATTAATTATCTCAATCCGTTTAATTGGACAAATCTCAATAATCCACCTTTGGGTTTGATTATTGCTCGTCTCTATTAAACGCAATTCAAATCCTTCAACTTTAGCAAAAACATAATTTTACCACTAGTCTCAAATACTATTAAAATTATCATGAGTGTGTCACTTTGGTGACTAAACACCCAATCTAATTTCATTAACATTTGTGCTTAGGATTTAAAATGATTCAATTTTCCCAAATGAATCTGCCTAATGTACAAGTATGCATCAAAATTAAACATGAGGCCATACACATAATTATATTTATCATGCCAATTTCAATACATTTATAGAATAATAATACCATTTAAATAATCCATTATATCTATTTATAACTGGATTGGTGATAACAAAAGGCAAAAGAAATGGCATATATCAAATTCAAAATTACATCATTTTACAAGTCATTTATAACACCAGTAATACTATATCTCGCCCAACCACCCAGGCATAAGAATTGTCCAGATCAAAGATTTCCACATTGAATAATTCTATTTTGTCAAGTGAACAATCTGGATAATCTTGCCTTATATGCTTTGGTGTTAAATCCCTTTGATACGTGATTCCCATTTTTTTTTTTTTATTTTTTTTTTTTTTTTTTTATGGTTGAAGGTAAACTTTTATAAAGAAGAAAAGAATGTACATAACAGCCCCCAAAGTGTAAGGACAACAGACTCCACCATGTAGTAGCAAAACCAAAGCCAACAAGGCTAAAAGCATGAAAAGAAAACACAACAATCTTGTCCACATCATACAAACAAAATATACTTGTTTACTGACAATATATACACTCATATAAAATTTGTACAGCCCCACATGAAAATATATATATATATATATATACGTGATATGTATATTAATATTCTGTTTCATTCCAAACACAAGCGCACACACATATATATATAAGACATAAAAATTTTACATAGTGTCATACATACAATATATTTACTATTTCTGTCACTTTTATAGATTCATATATATATATTGAGAGACAGAGTACTATATGATTAAATATAGTATATAAATTTTTATATAAACTCAACTAATAATATATTGATGAAAAAATATATATATTTATGCATCAAAGTCCATGTCCGGCTCTGATACCATACGTAAGCAAATTCAACGATATTTAAAATACATGATTCTAATGCATAAATATTGTTTATGATTAAATATAGTATATAAATTTTTATATAAACTCAACTAATAATATATTGATGAAAAAATATATATATTTATGCATCAAAGTCCATGTCCGGCTCTGATACCATACGTAAGCAAATTCAACGATATTTAAAATACATGATTCTAATGCATAAATATTGTTTAGAAACATACCTGCTATCTTTAGCCGTTTGTGTTTGAAAACAACTAATATAGAAATACTTTGATGCACAGAAACACTCTTCAACCCTCTACCTTTATCTGTGAAACTGAACGATGGATTTAGACTTTTCTTTCACGTATATATATAGAGGGTTGGGACCGTTTCTAAGTATTACCAAGAGGAGACATGTTGGTTCCATCAACCAACACATCTCTCTGTAATTAAATAACTGTTATGATACAACGTTACATCTCCTAAATATGGATAATAAAACAATTTAAATAAAATTAAGACTAATTATTATAATAAGACCATTAAATTCTTACAATTCACACTTCACTTTTGTACCATTGCACTTCATTCTTAAAGGTAATGACATTATTAACCCTAACTTCATAAATAAATAATTATTATTATACAAATATTACAACTACCCTTTCACACAAGAACACATTCTCACATGAATATATAAGAAAATGATACTTGCATCGTTTTGTTATCGTGTATTGTAATTTTTTTTTTTTAATTGGTCATCTATGAAACAAATAAGGGAGAGGAGTTCTCTACTTACTTACATTGTGCATAAATAACAAATTAGACATATTCAGTTAGGTAATTCGTTACAACAAATCTGTATAAGTATCACTAATCAAATATATATATATATAGAGAGAGAGAGAGAAAGAGAGAGAAAATTAGGAGATAAATTTTTTTTGAGAAAACCAGACATCATCATCTTAAAGAAATCATTGCAGAAGTTTTCCATCCATCTTAGAGGAGGATATGTGAACCTATACCTCTTCCATGGACCAGGATTAGTGGACGACTCATGCGTTCCAACCGAATTATGTCGAGTCTTTTGGCTGTTTCCTAGAACACACCAACGCATGAGGGTGCATAAAAAAACTGTAAAATTATGGAACCAAATCGAAATGGGCTTCGGTTTCGGATTCAATCCCAATTCTAAAAATTTGGAACTTTAATTTTACGGTTCAGTTTCGGTTCAAACCCATAAGAACCGTTGAGAACCAAACCGCATATATATATATATATATGATTATATATTTAATTATTTATATATTATTAATTACATACTATATATAATAATATATTATTTTTAAAAAATTTACAAACCCAATATGCTTTTTTGGGCTTAGTGTTCTACACTTTTATTTTTTTATATTAATTTCATTTGCATGCGTCGCATGTTATCCCATGTCCCAGCTGATCCCAATACCCACTCACGTTCTCTCGTTGAACCAGCCCCAGATCAATAAATACTCTCTCATCTAACCCCAGACAAGTATGCATCTCCAAAAAAAAAAATAATAATAATAATAATAATAATAATAATAACAACATATTATTTTTAAAAATTTTAGAAACCCAATACGCTTTTTTGGACTTAGTGTTCTACACTTTTATTTTTTTATATTAATTTCATTTGTACGCCTCACATTTTGTCCCACGTCCCAGCTGATCCCACTGCCCACTCACATTCTCTCGTTGAACCAGCCAGATCACTAAATACTGTCTCTCATCCAACCCCAGACCAGAAAGCATCTCCCAAAAAAAAAAAAAAAAAAACACGGAGCCCTCACCCCTATGTAAGTCGGTACTTTATTTAATTAGTCAAGTTGACTGAATATTGTAGGAATAAATAGTAATTTCTAAGTAAAGAGAAGTATGTCAAGGCTTTTAGCTATTTCCTAGAAGATGCCAACACTTTTTAAAGAGTATATTATTGAAAGAAAAAAAAAATGGAGCCCTCACCCCTATGCAAGTCGTTACCTTACTGAATGGTATATGAATAAAAAAGTAATTTAAAATAGTAGTGCAAAAAAAAAAAAAAAAAAAAAATCCTGAACTTTATTTTTCCCAAGAAACTTCCCTCAATTTCAATTTTTACAAAAAATTTCTTAAAATATTTTAATTTTTGCAAAATACAATAAGTGACACTGTTCCATTAGGTTTTGCTTAAAAATTTGGCACATGACCTCGCTGTAATTTTGAAATGATAATTTTACCCTTATAGCCGTTGTAGTGTGAAAAAAAAAATAAAATAAAATAAATTGTATAGGTGGTGTTTGACTAGCTTCAGTACAGCTGGTATTTAGTTTAGTACAAGGTGGTGTTTGACAAGTAATGTTAGTTGGTTATTGTTATAAGGTGGTGTTGTGTCACAATGTTATTGGCTGTTGTGATTGCAATTGATACACCATCAACAACAATTATTAAAATAATCAAACGATAATAGTCAAGGACACTTTGATAATCTAATATTTTCGATAACCTCCGGTGTTGGAGACTGTTGGCTTTGTCCTTAAATTACGCTTGATAAATAGTTTAGGAAGCATTACTTAACTGAGTGGTATGTAAAATGCATTGTCAGTGTGAACGGATGTATCTTCTTTGAAGGCTATATGCTAATTCTATAAAATTGTGCTTGTAATCATTTGTATCATCTCAAGAACAACGGAAAATATGGAACCCCGTTGGAAGCAGCTTTGGGATGCATGGGATCTCCGAGCCTTCATTATCTTAAGCCTTTCATTGCAAACCTTCTTAACTTTTGTTGCCCCCTTGAGAAAGCGAACGGCAACCAATTGGATAAGCATACCTCTCTGGTCGGCATACTTGCTTGCAGACTGGGCTGCAAACTTTGCCGTTGGGCTCATCTCCAACAGCCAAGGCGACACTTCTTCTGGTGCAGTCAAGGATGGAGACCTTAAGGCATTTTGGGCTACCTTTCTTCTGGTACACCTTGGTGGCCCGGATACCATAACTGCTTTTGCTCTCGAGGATAATGAGCTGTGGCTCAGGCACTTGATTGGAATGATAGTCCAATGTTTAGCTGCTCTTTATGTCTTCTTACAGACGTTAAGCGGTAACAAGCTACGGATCCCAACAATTTTCATGCTTGTGGCCGGAATCATCAAGTACTCCGAGCGGACACGTTCTTTGTATATTGGAAGCTTGGGTAATTTACGTGACTCCACGCGACGTGGTCCTGACCAAGGGCTTGAAGCGCACGACAGGTCCGTGTCCATGGAAGACGTAGTTGTTCCAGACCCGATTAAATACATGCTTGGAACAGCCACTGCAGTGCCAGATGGTGTTTTGACCGAGTTGGCATTGATGCAACATGCTAATTACTTTTTTAATGTTATAAAGGCGTTGATTGTTAATTCCATTTTAAGCTTCAGCCAGCCATACCAAAGCCGAGTGTTCTTCCTAGAACGAAGCGCAGAAGATGCTTTTAGAATGATAGAGCTTGAACTGAATCTCCTCTATGAATTTCTCTACACCAAGGTCAGTGTGGTGCATTGTAAATTTGGTTATATTTGCAGGTTTCTTTGCTTCATTTCAGTTGTTGTAGCCCTTGTACTCTTCTATTTCGAGAGCAAGCAGGGATACCACCGGTTTGATGTTGGGATTACCTATGTCTTGCTCCTTGGTGCCATTGTCCTCGATCTAATTTCTCTATTCATGCTCATTTTCTCTGATTGGACAATTATTGCCCTCCTCATGAGTGATGTTTCCGATGATAAATCCATTGGTGTTAAAATCCTCAACTTCTTGCTCGCTGTCAAGAGGGGAAGGAGGTTTGCCAAGCCTCGTCGTCCCTGCTGTATGTTGCGCGGGGTTAGGCAATTCTTGGAGCGCGGGTGGTCGGAGTCTCTCTCGCAATACAACTTGATAGGTTATTACATTTACATACATAATCGCTCAAAATGGATGCAAAAAGTCATTGATATTTTCCATCTAACCGACTTTTCAGATAGAAGGTATGTGAAAAGGGTATCATTCACCAGAGAGTTGAGAGACTTCATCTTCAAGGAGCTGGTAAATAAAGCTAGCACAGCGAATAATGTAGCAAGTGCCAAGGAGATGTATTCAGGCAGAGGGGAAGGGGTTCTTCGTGATAAAGGTCACCACAATTTACTTCCTTCTGTTGAACAAGTCGAATATGATAGAAGCCTTGTAATGTGGCACGTTGCAACTGAACTCTGCTACAGTGACGGCAGTGAAAGCAATGCTGCTGCTCGCAAGTATCGTGAATTTTCGAAGCTCCTGTCGGATTACATGTTTTATCTTGTAATTATGCAGCTACCAACGATGTCTACAGTGGCTGGTGATGCGTATTTAATATTCATAGATAGCTGTGCCATAACAAAGCGAATCTTTCGAGATAATAATGAAGACATAGGGAAATCAGAAAAGGACCAACAGATAAGAGCCTGCAAAACTATCCTTACCAGACCGATATTTGACGGAGGACGAAGCAAATCCGTGCTGTCTGATGCATGCCGGTTGGCCACAGAGCTGCAAAAGTTGGGCGAGGAAGATAAATGGGAAACAATGAGCAGAATTTGGGTAGAATTACTGAGTTATGCTGCAAGTCGTTGCGGAGGATATACTCATGCCCAACAACTGAATAAAGGTGGAGATCTCATTACTTTGGTTTGGTTATTGATGGTGCATCTTGGCTTCTGTGGTCAATCTGAATCGGAGGGATACTTAAAGTCTCTCACTTTCAACCCCGGAGATGAATCTGAATCTGAATCTGTATGATGTAGGAATTCATTGAAGATGTCCTTTACTGCAGTCCCTTTTGAGAAATTAATCGAATAATAATATATTTTTATTAAAATTATAAGCACAACATAGCAATATTTTCTTACAATTCAAACCCAACTTCTAATATATGATATACTTGCAAACAACCCATCAATTTTAAAATTGCAGTTCAATCTAGATCAATTTCTCATACAATAAAAGAATTATTTTAGATAAACTAAAAATTAATCTCTGAGCAGAATAATTTTCATAGGTTTTCCAGATTTATTAACAAGTGGGTCGTGTCCAACACCATTTGCCTTCATACCCATACCTACAACATATTCCTAATAGAAAAGAACTAAAACCGTGTGAAGTGTAATAAAAGCCAATATAACATTAGTAAAGTTGTTCTTTTACCAGGAAAACATGCGTAAAGTTTCACCTGTCAAATTAAACAATACTTTAGTCAAAATAAAAAGGGAAAAAAATAAAAATGAGAATAATAATAATAAACCATGCTTCCTACCGACAAATGTGGTAAAAGAGTTAACACGACCAAAACACATAATTGTGGGTCAAGACTCAACATCATGTCGTTCATTGAAAACTGAAGATTGAAGGGTTAAGGAGAAGAGAGTTCGAGAAGTGTCGAAGTTTCTACTACGAAAGGATTCAATTTAAAAATGGCATCCATTAAAGAATCTCACTTTATGCAGTGGCTTGTGGAATCTGAGCTAGTGGCATGTTTGAACTAGTTTAAGAACATTGAATCAGTTTAACTGGAGTGATGAATTGGACTTTGACTACTGCCTTAGTTGAACTAGTTCAAGTGAGGCAGTGAGTTGCAATACTTTTGGGGCAACAAAGTTGAACCAGTTCAAGTGTTGCCGAACCGGTTCAACTCTCTTGGGAAGCTACGTGATTTTAAACAGTACAAAAGGCAAGTTATTGTAGGACAAGTTATGTTCCATTATTTGAGACTATAAATATCAACCCTAATCAGATTTCAAGATATGACTTGTGAGATAACTTGAGGAGAGAATTATCATATGTGTTGTATGATTGATTAATTTGTGCCAAACACAAAAGAAAGCAACTGAGAGAGATTGAGAGAAAATTCTCCATTGTAATTTTTCATCTTTTTCATAGTGAAATTCGTGCGCTCCATGGATGAACCATGTATATCTTGTGTTCTTGTGTGTGATTATTTTTTTATTCTTCGTGATTACTATTTATTTCTTGAACAACGTTGTTTATTTTGCGTTTCCGCCACAACAATTGGTATCAAAGCATCCGGTTGAATGTGTAGCAACTCTAACAACTGGTATTAGAGCCTTGAGAACCATGGGCACAAACTTGATAAATTATTGCATAAATAAACGTTCAAGATGGATCCAAAAACTTATTGATAATTTTCATCTTACCAACGTTTTCGATAGGCTCAAGTATGTGAAAAGGGTATTGTGACGTTTCCGATTTTCACCATTTTTTTTTTTTTTTTTCCGGAATTTTGTCGCCCCAAAGGCATTTTCGTCTTTTCACGTTATGTGTACAGAATTGTGGTTGGGTCCATTTGCATTGTGTAGATTTTAAATTATGTGGATTAAGTAGTATTTGCATGTGGTGCACTTGTGCGTGTATGTAGTGTAAAAATTAAAGAAAAAGAAAATGAGATAGTGGCGGGACCCACCACTAACCTATTCCTTGTCTTGAGACCACATTTTTGGTCTCTCAACTCTCATTCTCCCGTAGCTCTCTTCCTCCCTTCCATTTCCATTTCATTTTCCTTTTGTTTTGGCTCCAATCTTTGAGGGTTGATAACTTCTTCAACACTTGATATTTTGGAGTGCCGTTTGCAGCAAAACGGAGAGCACGGTGAGCTCTACGCATGGGTACCAACAATTTCAGTCTTTGTGAAGCCTAGGGAGTCCGAAAATCATGACCCATTTTGAGAGTTTTCGCATTTTAAGAGGTAGGGGCTTCCTAATTCACATTATTCATGCACCTTTGTGAGTTAATCTACATGAATTGTGTTATAGCATGCTTATTTGTGTTAATTGTAGCCTAAATTGTCTTGGTTGTATATATATGAATATGTGAAGACATGTCTTGATTGTGCTATATGAGAAGCATGCTTATATAATGAGTTTTATGCTTATTGTATTGTTCCCATGCTGTAAATGGTGTATGAATGCATGCCCTATTGTATTTTGTGATAATTCATTATTATTTAAATATTAAAAGTATGAGAACATGTTTACTTGTGTGGTGTCAAATTCTTCATTTTCATAGTATAAAGATCATGAAACATGCATATACACCATTGGGTTGCATGAAGGGAAGAAACTGTTTTTGAAATGAAAATGGGGAGTTTTGGGAAAGAATGTATTGATGAAAGTGTTTTGATAAAACCCGATCGCTGCGGAGTCACCAACGGGCTAGTAGGTTAATGTAATCTAGAGGGAACTAGAGAGATTGCCCTAGTGTGGTTGAGCTATTTGGGCCCCATAATGACGCTGCGGAGTCACCAAAAGTCAGGGACAGTAGCCAATCCTTCTCTCGGCGCTGCGGAGTCACCAAAGGGGGTTACATTAATAGTTTGAAAGCGATGATTCTGATTGTGAAAAGGGGGAGCAACATCGGCATGCATTGCATCTCCATTGCATCTTATTATTTGTGTCGAGAATGATAACCATGTTGTATTCTCACATATGTTGTATGACCCCAACTCCTATTGGCCTATTCTTTGTTTTAGATTCACGGGGTCTCATGAGGTGCGTCTTAGGCGCCACCTATTGAGCAATTTGCTCACCCCACTATATATTATATTTTTCAGGTCATGGCAAGGAATTGGCGGATGATAATCCACCACAGAGCTAAGGGAACTTAAAGGCATTTTTTAAAGGCATTTTTGAATGTATTTTGTGGGACTTGAACTATTCTTGTAGAGTGCATAACACAAAATGTATTATTTTGCAAAATGTGAATTATTTGGATTTATCATGTATATGGCTATTTGGGTAATGTAATTAAATTCGTATCATGTTAATTCCGTATATCATATAACGTGTTGTAAATTACATTATCAAGTGGTGGTTATTATTGCAATTTAATGTTGAAATGTATGTGAGTGTAGTGGCACAGGTGTTTGGAGGTGAGGATAACCCAAACTCGTCGACGTAAAACCCCATACGTCAACTGAGTTGCATGAACCAGTCGACGTGTAGCTTCCTATACGTCAACCGGTATCCTGACAGTGGGCTTTTAAACGTGAATAACCCAAACCAGTCGACGTAAAAATCCTATACGTCGACCGAATTACGACGTGTAGCTTCCCACACGTCGACCGGTATCTCGGCAGTGGGTATCACCATTGTTCATAACCCAAACCAGTCGACATATGATGCATATACGGTCGACCGGTTTACGTCACATACCGGTTTACGTCACATATGTAATTACTATTTAAGTTCTTAAATTACACTTTGGCACCAAGTGAAATTACACGTAATTATTTTTTTTTACCCACTAAAATGCCATAATTATATTTTAACCCCCGAAAGGACTTTATTGCTCGAACCTTATTTTATTTACTATGTGATACAAGTTAAAAACCGTTGTACCCTTGAGTCTCAATTTATTGAATTGTAACAAATTACCATTTTGCCCTTTTGGACCTTGTTATTTAAATTTAATGTGAAAAGACCGTTTTACCCTCGGATGATTTTGGGTCGGGTAAGGACCAGTTTAATGATCCGGATCCATGAGAATTTGGGTCGTTACAAAATGAAAAGACCGTTTTACCCTCGGATGATTTTGAGTCGGGTAAGGACCCGTTTAATGATCCGGATCCATGAGGATTTGGGTCGTTACAGGTATCATTGAGAGTTAAGAGAATTCATCTTCAAAGAGCTGCTAATTGTAGCAAGTGCCAAGGAGATGTATTCAGGCAGAGGGGAAGGGGTTCTTTGTGAGAAAGGTCACCACAATTTACTTCCTTTTGTTGAAGAAGTCGAATATGATAGAAGCCTTTTATTGTGGCACATTGCAACTGAACTCTGCTACATTGACACTAAAAGCAATGTTGCTGCTGGTATAGGTGACGACGACATGCTATATTTTCTAGTTATGCAGCAACAAATGATGGCTGCAGTGGCTGGTGATGGGTATATAAGAATCATACATACCTGTTCCGAGACCAAGCATATCTTTCAGAGAAGGAAATCACAAGTGCAACAGGAACAGATTCGAGCTCAACCGAGTATCTTCGCTATTAATGATTTTTTCTGCAGAGAGAAATCAGAAGAGAATGAACAGATAAGACCCTGCAACACTATCCTGTCTATTGATACCACATTTAATTTTGAGGAAGATATTTACGTGAAATCTGTGCTGTTTGATGCATGCCGGTTGGCCAAAGCGCTAAGAAAGTTGGCCGAGAAAGATAAATGGGAAACAATAAGCAGTGTTTGGGTAAAATTACTGTGTTATGCTACAAGTCGCTGCGGAGAATATACTCATGTCCAACAACTGAATAAAGGTGGAGAGCTCATTACTTTGGTTTGGTTATTGATGGTCCATCTGGGCTTGTGCGGTCAATATCAAGATTTGGGATCATTCCAGCCTCTCAATTTCAACCTCGGTGAGGAACAAGTGGAAGCCACACCCTATGAAATATCGATGATTAATAATCCATAGAAGATGTCTTTGCTACTGTAGTCCCTTTTTAGCAATTTAATCGAATAATAATACTTTTCATTAAAATTATATGGACAACATAGCATTCTCTTCTTACAATCTAAATTTAACTTCTAATATCATATACATGTAAGCAACCTATAAATTTTAAAAATGCAGCCCAATCCAAATCAATTTCTCATGCAAAAATTTCACCTACAAGTTACAACATGTCCCAAGTAAAGTTTGAACTCTCATCCACAATTTCGTACCATCCAAAGGCACTCACAATACTGTCATTGATGCTATATGAGAGTTGGAGAGTGACTAAAAGT